AGGTGCAAAGAAAAGGCACTTGAAGACTCTCTTTGCAAGCGTGTGATTGTGACGCCCGATGGAAGCATCACAAAACCACTCGACCCAGCTGCAGCTGTCACGAGCCGAGATGCTTTTGCAAAGACAATATATTCTAGATTATTTGACTGGTAAATATAGATATAGAGAAATAGTATTGACCGAAAAATGGGGCATTAAGAAGCCAGAAAGAATATTATATTCCGGATCTTCTAGACTACAACTAACATTAAACAACAAAAGGGTAGCATTTTTGGAGTTAATTGGGAAATTTGGAAATAAACGTCGACAGTTATTTACGTAAGGATAAATCTTAGACGAGCGACAAATTGATTTCTAAGAAAGAAATGGACTACCACTGATAATAAAATCTACGCACGACTGATTCTGACTATTTTTATGTTGTGAAAGGATTGTTGACAAGATAAACATTTCGATTGGTCAAGATCCCAATGCAAAAAACATAATTGGAGTCCTTGATATATATGGGTTCGAGAGCTTCAAAATCAACAGGTGCTTTTCTTTCACTTGTGATGTATGATAGAGGAGTTCATGGTTCAAGAATCAAGGGTAATTTATTCCTTCTCTAAATATGGCAGTTTTGAGCAGCTATGTATCAACCTGACAAATGAGAAGTTGCAACAGCATTTCAATCAGGTAATTTGGGATTTAACTCAATCTACTTCAGCTATACTTTGACTCTCATCAATGTGAATATAAATTGATGAAGTGAATACATATGCACAGCATGTATTCAAGATGGAACAGGAAGAGTACACGAAAGAGGAAATTAACTGGAGTTATGTCGAATTCGTAGACAACCAAGATGTACTAGATCTCATTGAAAAGGTATATGAAGACTCTTTAACAGTGTCAATCGAGATGTCAGCTTCAAGAAAATTCAGTGGCAAGAATTGAATACCTTAGAATAATATTGGATTTTTACTTGCAGAAACCTGGAGGAATAATTGCTCTCCTTGATGAAGCCTGGTATGATACTCCTTGACATCTACTAAAAGGACCACTCAAAATACATTTGAAAAAGCAAAAGGGAAAACTAAAATTATTATAGTGAAGATGCTCTCAGTAATTAAACAAAATATGCCAACCCCGAAAAACACATGGAGTATCTGACTTGTTTTTTCGGCAGCATGTTTCCCAAATCAACACATGAGACCTTCGCGCAAAAAATGTACCAGACTTATAAAGCACACAAGCGCTTTAGCAAGCCGAAACTTGCCCGCACTGATTTCACAATAAATCACTATGCTGGTGATGTATGTATTGATCACTGACAAAACACTAATCATTTTTTACACGCAGCATTATTTAATTTTTATCTTTCTGTTGTGTCCAAATAGGTTACTTACCAAGCTGATCACTTTCTGGACAAGAACAAGGACTATGTGGTTGCAGAACATCAAGCTCTTTTGACAGAGTCCAAGTGCTCGTTCGTTTCAAATCTCTTCCCTCAACTGGCAGAGGAGGCATCAAAGCAGTCCAAGTTTTCTTCCATTGGTGCTCGTTTCAAGGTAAGCATGCATGATAATGACCAGCAAATTTGAGGGCAATTCTTGTGCAAAAATCCTAATACCCGCACACAGTACTAAATTATCACAAAAATTATGCAGCAACAACTGCAATCTTTAATGGAAACCTTGAGCACGACGGAGCCACATTATATTCGATGTGTGAAGCCTAATACAGTTCTGAAGCCTGGAATCTTCGAAAACTTCAATGTCTTAAACCAGTTGCGATGTGGAGTAAGTGAATTACTCATCTCGTTTGTAATTCACCATTTTTATATTTTAATGATGGTTCTTGCATCTTTTTAAATTGGCAGGGTGTCCTGGAGGCTATAAGGATAAGTTGTGCCGGATATCCAACCAAAAGAACATTTGATGAGTTCATAGACCGGTTTGGGATGCTAGTTTCAGATGTTGTGGATGGGTGAAAATTTAAATCAATTGGCACATATTCTTTAAACACCAAACTGAATGGTTATTTTGGGCTTCCAAATTACAAGAACATCTTATCCTTTCCCATGCTACAGGTCGGATGAGAAATCAGCGTGTATTGCAATATGCGACAGGATGGGATTAAAAGGTTATCAGGTAAAGAGAAATCTACGAACTTGCCATGGTAGAAAAAGATACATGAATCTGCATCTCTGCTTCTTACTTAGCATTGAAAATATTCTGTACTAATGCAGATTGGGAAAAGCAAGGTATTTCTCAGAGCAGGACAGATGGCAGAATTAGACGCTAGAAGAGCTGAAGTTCTGGCTCATGCTGCAAAGCGTATTCAGAGACAAATTCGAACTCACCTTACGAGAAAAGAGTTTATTATCCTGCGCAAGGCCACCATTAATATCCAGAAACTTTGGAGAGGTAAGTTTTACTGTGTAATGTGAACATCAGACTACTTATTCATTTCAAATCAATATATTTAAGGGCAAGCTCCTGTTCCCAAAAGGTAAATATTAAAAGAAAACAATTCAAAACTAGAAAATGGTAAAGTAAGATAATTTAAACGAAAGGAAGAGCCATGATAAACTGAAAAAGAGAACTTAAGGGCCGAAAGAAATCTTAAAAAAAAAAAAAAAACCATAAAAAACTAGAAAATGTAAGAAAATTTTGAAAATAATAATCTCCATGCTCTGTTGTTACCAATTGTTGGAAATAAAGACAAGCCCATGAGCAATTTCCTACCAACCAAGGGAAAACTTGCACCAACAGAAAATTTGCACTTGATAATGGCATAACAATTTGTTCTGCTTCTAACAGCAAGACTCGCGCGTAACCTATATGAACACATGAGGAGAGAAGCTGCTTCGGTAAGGATACAGAAACATGCACGTGCTCATGCAGCAAGAAGATCTTACAGCAAACTACAAGGGGCAGCAACAGTGATACAAACCGGGCTACGAGCAATGGCTGCACGAAATGAGTTCAGAAGAAGAAGACAAAACAAAGCAGCAGCAATCATTCAGGTACTGAAGATGAAAAATGAGATCCATAATCATGATGGTTGACCTTGAAAAGATATTGAGCAATTGATCAAAACCTTTTCATTATGTTCTTATCCTTTTTCCAGACACAATGGAGAAGTTTCCATGCTCTTTCTTTGTACAATCAACTGAAAAAGTCAACTGTTACACTTCAATGTCTATGGCGAGCCAGGATAGCGAGACGGGAGCTTCGGAAGTTGAAGATGGTCAATTTTTTTCTATTTGTAGAATCAATCTTCAGCATTAATTTCAAACCGCCAAATAAGTTTCCTCATTAGTTAATATGGCTAAGTGGAAAATGTCCTCAAACAGGCGGCAAGAGAAACAGGAGCACTCAAGGAAGCAAAGGACAAGCTTGAGAAGCGTGTAGAGGAGCTCACGTGGAGATTGGACATTGAGAAACACTTACGAGTACCCTACAAACAAACCTTTCTCCAACTAAAATCGAAAATATGTGATAAATCTCCAGCAGCAAACGGAATGATGTGGCCTTAGACTTTATAGTCAAATGTCCCATAAATATCTGTAGCTCAATTCAGTCATTGATTTAAGTCACCAATTAGTTATCTGCAATTTTCTAGTCTTCACATTAGCTTATGAAAGATTAAGTGTTTAAAAAGAAACAATATTTATTAACTTCAAACTTTGCTAGTGAAGAATCTGAAATTTGAAAAGTCATGTACTCATAATCTTCTTGCAGATGGATATTGAAGAAGCAAAGGGGCAAGAAATTGCAAAATTGCAGAATGCTATACAGAATATGCAAACGCAACTCCAAGAAGCACAGGCTGCAATTATTTCTGAAAGGGAAGCTGCCAAAATAGCTATTGAACAAGCCCCACCAGTCATCAAGGAAGTACCAGTTGTTGACAACACAAAGGTGGAGCAACTGACAAATCAAAACCACGAATTTGAGGTATCACTGAGCATATACGCATCCCATTTATTTCTTTTTAAAATTGAAGGAGACTACTGTAATTTTACGAAGTCAGTGTTTGCAATCAGTGACGACAACCTCAAGCTCATATAAACATTGTACTGTGTACAGTGGGCATATCAAAATAAACATAAAAGAAGAAACTACAAAAAATGATAGATTAGATTCTATAGGTAAAGTATGCAAGAACTAGAACAGTTCAAAGTTTCAATAAAAAAGATTGAGGAAAACTTCAAGCCAGTGGACTGTGGAGTAAGCGATCGCGAGAGAAAGATATGAGAAAATTGAAAATCCACAATAATTACATCACTGTAGAATATGATATAACAAAATCATGATCAGAAGATTGTATTAAAATTTGGACTACCCAGTTAACATCATTGACAACTGCATGTGATCATTAGAAACTAGCCAATACTCAAACCTGGAGCATGCATCATAATGCCAGTGCACATATGCAGGAAGTGATAGTCAAATTAAAGAAGCGGGTGGAGGAATTTGAGAACAGCTTTTTGAAGATGGAAACAGATAGTCAAGCCAGACTAAGAGAAGCTGCGGAAGCCCAGAAGAGAGCCGCAGAACTACAAGACACAATAGAAAGGTAACTGATTCAAAATATCTTTACGCCTAGTCTTATAAAATCATCAATTATATTATAACCATTAGTACTCAACATCTCTTCAGATTGGAAATCAATGTTTCTAATCTTGAGTCAGAGAATCAGGTTCTGCGCCAGCAGGCATTGGCAGCATCTGCTAAAGAGGACTCCGCTGAGGAAACGGAATAGTAAGAATATCTAAAAGAATGATTGTTCAGATTGATTATTCAATTTATGTCCATCAAACTTGAAAACTCTCTATAATATCCAAGTCCGAAATATAGATCACTTCGTATAAAATGTATCCATAGAATCTCTCAGATGTGAATCCACATACCTGAAATCAAATTGGCTGGATGTAAAAGAAAATACAGGCCATTAATTAAGTCATTGGCTCAACAGTTCTAGTGTGGCCATATTTGATCAAAAATTGTCCCAAGAACATCTGATTGCATGCTGCATACATCAACTAGCACAAGGTTGAATAAAATGAACTAACTTGGAGAGATAATGCCATCAGACAATACCCAGTTCAACTTTTATGTAACCCAACTGGACTATGGTTTTTGAAGTTCCAACTGAAGATCTTGAAAAATCTTGTGTGTCAGCTTGAGGGGGAAAATCAGAGATTTGGAGTCTGAGAACAATTTCCTACGCAGTCAAAAGGTTGTCGTGGAGCAAATAGCGAGTTCTGATGGTCAAATTTGCCAACCAGTAAAGGTACAGTTTGTTCTACTTGCTTAAACTAATTGCTGGAGCTCTGTTCAAATAACCCCTGGGATGCTGTAAAATGCAGGACTTAAATAATGAACATCAAAACCATAATTGTTTTCAAATGATGGAACAGCATCCAGTAAGAAAAGTAGAGAGACACATAACCGAAGTAAATCAATATTCCATTCAGTAATTTCATAAACAAACAAATTTTTTCCACCATTGGCTGATCTAGTAACTACAAGCATGAGTTTCGTTCGCAGGACTCAGAAGCTACGCCACCTATCCTCACTAAACAAAGATCGTTGACAGATAGGCAGCAGGTATATCTCAGTTAAAAGCAATCACATATTAAATTTATTATGAGACAGATAAAGAGAGAAGAAATTTTTATATGCATTCATGGATTTCGAAATAGAATAGCTTGTGATACCTTGTACTTTATGTATCAGGAAAACCATGATGCACTAATCAAATGCCTTCTTCAAGACAACCGCTTTGATAAGAACAGGCCTGTTGCTGCTTGTATTGTGTACAAAGCACTAGTCCAGTGGAGATCCTTCGAAGCAGACAAGACTAATATATTTGATAGGATCATTCACGCTATCCAATCATCAATAGAGGAGGTACTAGAACTAATCAATTTCAAGCAAAATGAATGAAAGCCGCTATTTTTATTTTTATTTTTTAAAAAGGGGTAGTTATTAAATTACTTTTTGTTCAGAACCAGGACAACACCAGAAACCTGGCCTACTGGCTGTCGACAACTTCGACCCTTTTGTTCCTTTTGCAAAGAACAATCAAAGCAAGCAGCACATCATCAGTTGCATCAAGACGTAACCGAAGTTCACCAATGTCTCTGTTTGGTAGAATGGCACAGGTAATAAACCATTGAATCTAAACCCGCCATCTACAAAAGATCAGGGACAATTATAGTAAAACTCCAACTCCAAGCTTACACTCGCAGGTTAGATCATCTTCTCTGATCACGGGATTATCTAGCGGTTACAGCGGAATGGAGGGAAATCCGATCTCAAAATCAAGGATTGAAGCTAAATACCCAGCTTTATTGTTTAAGCAACATCTAACTGCCTGTGTTGAGAAAATATACGGGATGATCCGTGATGGGTTGAAGAAAGAGATCAACCCATTTCTCACCCTCTGCATACAAGTTAGTCATTACTACTCCAGAAGCAAACAATTAAAACTTTTTTATAATTACAACTGATATCCCAAAATGTCGAAACAGGCAGCTAGAACTGCAAGGATCAGACCAGTAAAAGGGCCATCCAAAAGCATCCATTCTCATACGATAACAAGACAAGCGGGCTCTAGTATACACTGGCAGAACATAGTTGACAGCCTGAATCAGACCATGAGAATACTGGCTGAAAACTATGTAATTGTAATCAGAACTATTCTAATTATCCAGCTTCTTTTCTTGAGTTAACATATAAAATACTATTTTTTTTGTTTTCTCCATGTTATATGAATCTGTATTTAGGTTCCTCCTACCATCACGAGGAAAATTTTCAGGCAGGTTTTCTCATTCATTAATGTCCAGCTTTTTAATAGGTAAGGAATTACTATCTCCTCCGCATCTAATGGCAAATAATAAATTTCAGAAATGAGAAAATGTTAAGAAGTTGTAAAAGTGCCCACCTATCATTGTACTCAATTGCAGCTTATTGCTACGCCGTGAGTGCTGCTCATTTAGCAATGGTGAATATGTAAAGGCTGGTTTACAAGAACTAGAACATTGGTGTACAAAAGCAACAGATGAGGTATAACTCCATATAACAATAACAGGCTAATGGAAAGCAGTTTGAGTAATTGAAAACTAATTAGGTCTCACGTCTTTTCGTATGATGCAGTATGCTGGATCCTCGTGGGAGGACCTTCAACACATAAGGCAAGCTGTAGCTTTTCTGGTACAGTATTATTACCTGACTCAGTTTGTCATTAAATAAGATCGTGAGCTCATTTTGATCAAACAACGCTTTGATTTAACCAGGTTTTACATCAGAAAGCCCACAAATCATTGGACGAGATCACGAATGAATTCTGCCCAGTAAATATTGACACTATGCTTTTTCACGTCTCGCTACAATGATAAAATCTCTTTTTAATAATATATAGACTCACAAAAAGATATCAATGTTGAAATTCATACAAACATAATTCCAAGTTAAACTTTTGCAATTTTGTTCTACTGTTACAGGTACTGAGCATTGCACAAATATATAGAATCGGAACCATGTTTTGGGATGACAAATATGGAACCCAAGGATTATCCACAGAGGTAACTACACTCCTATTGTTCATAGTGACACTACTTAATAATAGCTAGATAAAAATTCATGTACTGAAGTAAATAAAAAACAGAAAACAGGTTCAACATACCATAAGCATTTGCAAGAGCTGTATATGTAGACTTTCATTGACAAGTGATCAAACAATTCATAAAAGTAACAATACCTCAAAATTGTGAAGTTTACTTTTCTAGTTGAAGGGTGAATTGTAACTTCTACTTCCTTCTTTCTAGAAAATTTGTTATATCAATGCATCTTTGATTGACTGACCATCCACTCACAACAATGTTTTTTCAGGTGATTGCAAAGATGAAAGCACTGACAATAGAAGACTCAGTTAGCACACCAAACAATACTTTCTTGCTCGATGTGAATTCCAGGTAATCATAACTAAAACTCGAGATAGACCTTGAAAACCAAAATTCAATGCAAATTAGTAACATATATAATCCAAAAAGTGCAGTATACCTTTCTCCATGGATGAGATATCACAATCTTTTCGCGATATTGATGTATCCGACGTGGACCCACCGCCCCTCCTTCGCCAAAGGTCAGACTTCCATTTTCTGCTGCAGACAACTGAATGAGAGTTTTGCCCTTTAACAAATTTTGACTCCATAGAAAGCAGTACAGTTTCCGCCATTTGTTTATGCCCTTTTGGTTGGTGAGAAAGTGATTCTGAGTGTGATTGTGGGTGTTTAAGAATGTAAATCCTTTTCTTCTCATATTTTGTCTTGTTTATTCAGCTGTTTGACGATGTACTAGTGCAAATTTGGGGCTACAGATATGTGATGTAATTGCAACTAACATTAATTGGGAAAACCTCAGACAATTTGGAAAAGGAATATTGAATGCATCTTAATCCAGTTTTGTCCTCAACAAACATTCACGCAAATTAACGACCAGAATGTTTGCAGACCACAAAAATCAAAACTAGTAGAACTGCCGGAAAGAACAAGTCCTTGCAACAACGCAGCAGGGGAATTTGAGGGAAAATTTCTTTTAACCTCTCAAACTATGCGGATATTTAGAGTTTGCCTTGCCAACTTTTTTTCTTGACAAATTGCCTCCCATAGTAACCGAAATTAACAATTTGACTCCTTCATTGAAAACTCTAATATGACACAAAAAGTTTTTAACTCAGTTAATGATAAATTATAAATTGATCTTTAAAATTGATTTAGGGCTTTTAAAACTCATGACGAGACAAACAAAATGAGGTATAGTTTGTCGATTTCTAAAAATTGATACATGTGTAATCGATCAACGAAGATAGTAGGATCACGTGTTTAATCCGATTGGGAGGTGTCATTTGAAAGCTTGCAGGACCAATTTTTTAATGCGTAAATCTTATGAAAATCCAACGGTCGGATTTTGATCAGCAGTTAGAAAATTACTGATCAATAGTTAGCTTTTTTTAGGCTACTAACCAAAATCCGACCGTTGGATTTTCATAAGATTTACTTCGTTAGAAAACTCGTCTTTCAAGCTTTCAAATGACAAATTTTAATCGAAAATCAGATAACTTGATTATCCAAAAACTTGAATTGAAATTTTTTCTATACATATGTGCTCCTACTATCTTTGTCGATCGATTACAAAGGTATCAATTTTCAAAAATCGACAAACCATACCTCATTTTGTTCTTCTCGCTATCGGCTTTAAAACCCCTAAATCAACTTTAAAGACCAATTTAAAATTTATCCTTTATTGAGTTAAAAACTTTTTGTGCCATATTAGTATTTTCAATCGAGGAGACAAATTGTTAGTTTCGATTACTATATTTCAGAGATAAATTGTCAAGAAAAAAAGTTCGACTTTAGCAAGATGGATTTCAAAATTACTCAGAGTTCAACTTTTATGCATGTCAATTGGAATAAGCGGTCAAAAACAAAAATAAATAAATAAATAAAAATGATGTGCTTTGTCTCTCTTGTCGGAGTTCTAGTTCCGTTTGGGTCATCTTTTTGTTGTTTGTTTAGTGTTTTCTTTGTTTGCCCTAATTGTTGCCTTTTCTGCTTCTCCTTCGTTATTTTTGCCCTTTGTTGGTGCCTTGTTTGTTTTTGGTGTTTCTCAGTGGACCTGGTCGTTTGAGAGGTTAAAATATTACAGCGCGCCATCTCACCTGCCTTGATCCACTTTTGATATGCCTCTTTCTCATAATTCGGGGCATCATGGGCCGGGACATCCAGAAAGACCTCAGTGAGACGAATTTGTACCTCTCTGTTGTCAGCACTATGTTTAAGTTCCTTCTCAAATCAGTGTAATTAGGATCGGTAAGTTTCTTTTCTTTTAGAATGACAGACAACGGATTGAAAGTTGAATATAGCCTGAGAATCATAAAAAAAAAATTCTTATTAAACAACTGAATTTAACTTGTTAATATTGTTATCCTCAAAACAACATTAACATAAGTTCACCGACATCTCATAACACCGAGAGTTCATGCACGCTACGTTGGGTGACTCTACACTTTCTCAACATTTGTAAGAGAAGGGTGTTTCAAATACCCATTAACTTTTATAAGCCAAAACCCAATTCATGGCGAATAAATTAATAGTCAGTTACCTTTTAGCTTCTTAATAAAAGTCCAGCGACTCCGTTGGGGAGGATTTCTTTTATTACATTCTAAGTGAAAACATAACCTAATCCCAAGGAGATTATTCTTTGATTGTATGTCCTCCGTTGAGGAGGTCCACTTACTCAATAATAATTCTTACAATTATCTTTCGAAATTTGTTTTAGCGATCTTACCATTAATTTTAACGCCGTTGGGGAGGTCCATGTTGCAATTAATTGCATCACCACAAATCGGTAATGGAGACCTTAGGAATATTTAAAATTCACTTTTAATTCTAAAATTTCTTCTCAATTTAGTAATTAAACGAAGATTTTTAATTTTCCAATTTCTAATTAATCATGCATTAAGACAATAAATTAATTAGGATGCAACTATGGACATATTAATAAAAATGGCAATTAAATCCACTATTATGGTCATCATTAAAGAATCCTAGTCGATAAGGAAAGAATAAGATCAAATCTACTGATTTTCCTAATCCACGTAGAACTCCCACTGTAGTAGAATTCTTGTCCAAGATTGTCGCTCCGTCAAGTCTTTACATTGCCATCGTCTGAAAGCCACCGCTGTCAGCCGGTCGTCGCCATGAAACTGACCGAAAAAAGAAAATTTCTCAGACCGATCACGTCTCAGCTCCATTTTTACACAAGTCGCAGCCTGCGTCTCCCGGACAGCCTGCACGCACGGTCCGGCGCCTGCGTGTAGCGGGTGGCCAGCCGTGGTGTCGCAGTATGGTCCTGCTACCAAAATACGTACGCGACGAGAAAGACGCGCCATGCTCAGGCGCACATCGAGAAATAACTCACTGGCCTGGTCTTTGTCGTGCCGGGCGCGACGACCTTCAACGCGTCTCTCTGCGCATCGAGCGCATCCGTCGGTCGTCGGAGACCCGCGAAAGACTCACGCGTCGGGTTGCTGCGAGCCTCACGCTTGGGCGTTCGATTTTTCGTGTCCACTCAGGTCATCAAGTCTCCATCTGGTCGTCTTTGATCTCCAGGTTGATCCGCACACGATCACGATCAAAATAAATAAATTTTAAAAAAATTATTTTGATTCTAGGCCCATGGATGGGTTTACATGTTCGTCTAAGAAAGCGAATAAATCTATCTGGTATCCCATCTAGCGAATAATTATTACAAACATTCAATCATCATCCTCGACATGCCCGAGGCTTTAAAAACCAAAACCATGCAATAAAATTAATACGCATCGCATCAAGCACATAAAATCCCATATGCCACAATAGTGGATTATACTACTTCTGCAACATCGAGTTATGCACACACACACACACACACACACACACACACACATATGTATATGTATATATATAATCCAATTTATGGGTACACTTGAACACACATAATTTACGTAAGCCTTAAAAATTTGAACTTTGCACATAAGCGCATTAAACTGGGCTCAGATACCACTTGTTGGGATCTATAAAGATAGCTGCTAATGTGCAAGTTACAAATTTAATTACAAAAGTACCTATGCGCAGCGATCTATAGGTAAAAGTAGAAGACTGACAGTTTAATTTGTTCCGACTCTGAGATGTTGTAGATTTTATTTAGAGGAGATCGTCTGATCACAAAGCCTGTTAGGCAGCCGAATGGGACCTTCTCGAATGATCACAGGTCACTGCATGCGGACGAGAGCAAGCAGGTCGCGAGCGGGATCGTCGTGGGTCTGCTTGTCATCGGGTCACTACAGGAGTCGTCTCCAGGTGCTAGAAGTTTGCGAGTCGCAAGGCATTGCAGAGAGCAAGTCGCGTCGGGTCTCGACGTCGCGGATCGCAGCAGGGCGTCGCCGGGTGCAGCGGGTGATCTCCGGGAGCAGCGAGACGACATCATCAGATTACTGCAAGGGAGCAGGTCGCGTCGGGGCATCTATGGTGAACTCAGATCATCTCGCACGGCGGTGCTCGGTGGTGATCGACTGCCGACAGTGGTTGGGTGCTCGAATTGTCTCGGGTGCTCGACTACCCTAAGGCTTCTATTGAATTTTCTAACACCTCTAAAACTCCCTTGGTGAGAAGATGAATCTAGATATCTCTATGTATGTTATGTCTTGGAAGACTAGAGAAGAGGTATATTTATAGGCTTCAATATGGACCCTAAGGAGACATTAAATTGGGCTTCTCCTATTAGGACTAAACTATAGGCTAAACCTACCAAGCTAATACGAATACAGTTATTCAACTAAATTAGTATTATTGAATACTCCCAATTTAATTCTCAGGTTACGGTTTGAGCTCCACTTTCTAATATACTCGAATTACCTCCCCATGCATGTTTAAGATATAATGTCTGTCAATTTATTTAATTACTGATAATTAAATTAACACCATTCAATCATTAAAAATAATGATTAATATTTCTTATTAACAACCGACTAATATAAGTCACTGATATACACCAAATAAATGGCTAAGATTGAGTATCATGTACTCATTTAAAAGATTTGACTCTTTTGATCCAATTCCTATTTTTATATATATATATATATATATATATATATATATATATATATTTATTTATACATATATATATGATCTCCTCTTTTATTCATTTGTATGCCAATTCATTCTTGGGACGATTCTACTAGCAAAGAGATTGTTCCAGATTCGTAATCCAAAAGGTGGACATGTTTAGAGAGGAGACACGTGGATCTCTAGGACAAGACGAACGAAGACGGTTGCCAACTCTCTCTCCATTGTCGCTTTAAGAAGAAAATTAAGGTCATTTGAAAGTCATTTACAAATCAAAATTTGTATTTTTAAGTGATTTTAAAAGATGTGTTCGTTACAGTCGCTATTTGAACCGACTGGTCAGTATTTATTCGATAAATCTTGTTTATTTCATTTATTTTTCGTTGTGTTTCACCCGCTGTAGCCAACCTAAAAATAGGTACAACTGGAAAATATCTTGTTAGGGCCCGAAAGTGATAAAATGTTTTCGTCCAATCCCAACAAATATCTCTATTTGTTTTTGATAAAACAAGTTCTTAAATACCATATCAATAATTAATATCCTTTGGTCTATATTCGAGAACAAGTAAAATCAGTAGGGATATACCGCATACGGTATACAAAGTTTTGTCGACTTTCGTAAAACAAACGAGCAACATTAAATGGGCTGTCTTCGTATATCTAATTAAAAAAAAAAACACTGTGGCACTATGT